TACTATGTGTCAGTCCATTCTGTATTCGTATGCCACGGTTTGTAGATCTTGTCGATGTATGTCTGTCCATTCAAGGCGTAGTATGTGTGTGTGTGTGTGAGTACGTGTGTGTGTGTGTGTGTGTGTGGGTGTGTGTGTGTGTGTGTGTGTGTGCGTGTGTGTGTGCGTGCACGCTTGTGTGTGTTATTTTACCTCATTAAGTATGCATCAGATTGCACGATTTCAAGTTCAAAATTGCAAAAGCTCCCTACCGTGGGAGGGGGGACACCCCCCTCCCACACCCTCCCCCCGCTCGGTCGCTTCGCTCCCTCGCTCGGGCGCTTCGCGCCCTCACTAGCGTTGGCAGCCCAGTCATCCCCCCCAGGTGAACGAACCTGTCTACGCCACTGTGTTAAGGACGACACAGAATGCAAGGGTCGCAAGGGTCTACCCTTGCAAAATATGTTATCACAGAATGCAAGGATCCCCCTTGCATTTTTGTCCTGTCCTTAACATCTCATGGAATGATCTGCGATTACATAGTTTGGATAGACTGATCATACACTCCTATATAGAAATGAAAAGAGATAATTTCAGGACATGTAAAGGACGACACAGAATGCAAGGGTCCCCCCTTGCAAAATATGTTATCACAGAATGCAAGGGTCCCCCTTGCATTTTGTCCCGTCCTTAACATCTCATGGAATCATCTGCGATTACATAGTTTGGATGGACTGATCATACACACCTATATAGAAATGAAAAGAGATAATTTCATGAAATGTTAAACGTGCAATAAATGTTACTTGGATAAAGAGATACTTTGATGAAGAAAACAAAAGTAAAGGGAAAATGTTTTTTGCACATTTTCTGAGACGTATGGGAGGTGAATTTTTTTTTTAGCGGTAATTTCCGCTCGGATCATTCATTGTTCAATAAATACGCAGATCCTTTGTGGAATGATATATTGATTGCATGGAGTCACTACAAGTACTACAACCCAGTTAAATTCAAAGACATTTTTTCCCAAACCCTTTGCCTGAATTCTCATATACTGGTAGGCGGAAAACCTCTCAATATTAATTTACGTTTTAATTCTGATATGATATATGTTAAGGATATTTTGCGCATTGATGGTTCATTTATGTCTTTTGATCAAATCCAACGCCAAATGAATTTTCTGTCTGGTTCATTTATGTTATATTATTTAGTTCTTTCCGCATTACCTAGTAGTTGGAAACGTATTCTAAAACAAGTCAACTTTAAAAGGGAAAATGCTTCTCTAAATTGTGTTGATAATTTATTGAACGAATTCCGTAAACCTAAAAAGATATCAAAACTTACGTATAATATTTTCTTAAACAAATTTTCAGCAAATATCTCAGAAACAAATCAACAGGATAAATGGAAAAGGGATCTACAAAATAATTTAAATGATTCACTAATTTGGAAATCCCGTTTTACATTACTTTATAGGTCATCCATAGATATTAAAAAAAGAAATTTTCAATTTAAACTTATTCATAGAAAAATTGCAACACAAAGTTTTCTTTATAAGATAGGTATAAGTACTTCTTCAATGTGTACTTTCTGTGAAAATCATGAACAGACGTTATCTCATTTGTTTGTAAATTGTGAAAAAGTACGATCTTTCTGGAATGTTATATGTGCATGGTTAAAAGAAAAGAACATACGAAATATTTTGTTCACAGATGAAGAATATTTTTTTGGTACTCTATAATCAATAATTTTTATTTCGTCAATACAGTTATTATTTTTGCAAAATATTTTATTTTCACTTGTAAAATGCAAAACGTTATTCCACTATTTCCTTCTTTTCAACGAGCTCTCAAACATTTAGAAAATATGGAACGTACAATTGCTTTCAAGAAAAATCGTCTCGATCTTCATAATAAGAAATGGCAGATATTTTGTTAACTTTTTTTGTATTGCTGATGAGTTAACAATTACACTATATTTTGTATTATATATATTCTATGTCTATACGAACATGTTATTATTACTATTATTATTATCATGTATTGTTATTATTATGAATGAGATTTGTTTTCAATAAATATTTGAAAAAAGAAAAAAAAAAGATTATCATTCTACCTCTTTATGCATCCTTATGTTGCCAGATTATTATCAAAGTTAGCTCAATTATAAATGTCTTTAAAATAGATTCAATGAATAAAATATCAACAACAACAAAACAAAAAAATCAATTATAGGTATACTACTGACTGACCCCCGACTGATCTTATCCTGGCTACGCCACTGATACATTAGGTAGAACAAGCATCGCCATTATTTTGTTCATTTTAGGACTGAGATTTTAGAAACTAGTAATTGTTTATACGACAATAATATTTTTGTGGAAAGTGCTTGTAATAGACCTATAGACCTACATATAGCCTTAGCAATATCCAGGCGCGGATCCAGGGGGGGGGGGCCGAGCGTGCCTTGGCCACCCCCCCCCCCGCAACAACAACAACAAAAAAACCAAAAAAAAAGGAGAGAGAGAGAAGGAAAAGAAGGGAAAGAGGAGAGAAAGGGAAAAAAAGAAGAGGAAGAAGAAAAGAAAAGAGGGAAGAAGGAGATCGAGGGGGGGGGGCAAAAGACCCTAACCTCCTCCCCCCCCCCCCCCCGTCCCCGCTAAAAAAAGAGAGGAAGGAAAAGGAAAAGAGAAGAGTTAAGTTAAAGGAACAAAAGAGGAAGAAAAAAAGAAAAGGGAGAAAAGAAGCGGAAATCCATTGCGGATAATCCCGCCAAAAATGTGTGGAGCGGGTTGGGGACCAAAATGACCGTGCCCCTCCCCCCCCCCCCCCCAGCAAACCTATAAGAGAGATAAGGAAGGGAAGGGAAAGTGAAAGAGGAGAGAAAGGGAAAGGAAAAAAAGAGAATGAAGAAAGGTAAGGGATATCAGTTGCAATTTTCCCGCCAACAAGGTGTAGATCGGAGGGGGGGGGGGGGCACTGGCATACTGATAGGGGAGGGGGTTGGAGAAATAGAATTCAAACGTGGTTTATTTATAATTCCATAACGGTGGTTAACAAATAATGCTGAAATGAGATAATTTACCTCACATCATGCGTTTGTTGGAAAATGACAAATTCCTAAATTTAAAGCCAGGCAAGAAAATGCTTCTTGAGATGCCTACATATCAGGGCCCGCGGAACGGCGGGGATCGGGATCCTCGAGCCCCTCCCCCCACACTTTCTTTGGAAAAGTATATTAAAGAGAAAAAGAAAGAAAGAGAGCGAAAAAGAAAAATAGTTAACTGCCAGTGTCACATTATAATGGGGTATCAAAATATGCTCATCTGACCATGATTAAAATTAATGCCTAAAATCCTAAGGGCTCTGCCCCCTGGATTCCACCTAGGGCCCTAAGGCGGGCCCTTAGATGCTCATATGACGGTCATTTAATGCCTAAAACCCCTGATTTCTGGGGGCTCTGCCCCCTGGACCCCACGCCAAATAGTGTCCTGCTAGTGTCACAAATAATAAGGTATCAAAAATGCTCATCTGACCGTAATTAAACGCCTAAAACCCCTGGGCTTCTGGGGGCTCTGCCCCCTGGACCCAACCAAGAGCCCTTAGGCGGGCCCCTCGATACTCATCTGACCGTAATTGAGTGCCTAAAACCCTTGAGATTCCGGGGCTCCGCCCCCTGAACCCCAAGCCAATTAGTGACCTGCCATTGTAACAATTAGGTATCAAAATAATGCTCATCTGACCGTATTTAAATGCCTAAACTCCTGAACTTCCGGGGCTCTGCCCCCTGGACCCCGTCTAGGGCGCTAAGGCGGACCCCTGAATGCTAATCTGACCGTAAATTAAAACCTTAAACCCCTGAGCTTCCGGGGTGGACAAGGATCAACATTATGTTCATCTGACAGCAGGCGCGTAGCCAGGGGGCGGTGGGGGTGGTCCCCCAATAAACGCCGGCCAAAAAAGAGGAGTTTAAAGGAAGAGGACGTAGGAAGAAAAGGGAATAGACAAAGAACATATTTGAAATTCAGACAAGGATTAAAAGTCGAGAACGGTATAACGAATCGTCTTCTTTCTCAAATGAATTAATGAAACGTCAAAGCTTCCGCGCTACGCGCGGGGGAGGGCAGGGGATTTGATTTAGACAAGGATTAAGAGTCGAGAACGGTACAACGAATCTTCCTCTTTCTCTAATGATTTAATGAAAAGTAAAAGCTTCCGCGCTTCGCGCGGGTGGGGGAAACTAAATTATTTTCGAGAACGGAACAACGAATCGTCTTCATTCTCTAAAAAATTAATGAAACGTCGAAGCGGGAGGAAAACTGAATTTAGACAAGGATTAAGAGTCGAGAACGGTACAGCGAATCGTCTTCTTCCTTTAATGATTTAATGAAACGTAAAAGCTTCCGCGCTTCGCGTGGGAGGGGGGACCTGAAATTAGACAAGAATTAAAAGTCATAACGGTACAACGAATCGTCTTATTTCGCTAATGATTTAATGAAACGTAAAAGCTGTATTCTGACGAGGATTATTTTCGAGAACGGTACCACGAATCGTCTTCTTTCTCTACTGATTTAATGAAACGTACAAGCTTCCGTGCGGGAGGAGGGGAAAACTGAATTCAGATGAGGATTAAGAGTCGAGAACGGTACAACGAATCGTCTTCTTTCTCTAATGATTTAATGAAACGTAAAAAAAAAAATGCCAATGGCTGACCTAAAAAAGGTGACCTCACCCCCCCCCCCCCCCCCAACGGAACAAAATGTCAAATTTAAAATTTCGAGACCAAAAAAAAAAGGTGTCCTCTTCCCCCCCCCCCCCCCCCCCCCGCTTATATAGGGGCTGGCTGAGTCGTTACGATTTTTTTTTCGGACCCCCCCCCCAAAAAAAAAAGTGGCCCCCCCCTAATAAATCCTGGATCCGCGCCTGGCAATATCCAGTGCCAGAAGGGTTAACCCGACCTATATGATTGTGTATCTTTAGTTTGCTTTTGGAATCGTATTTGTTCATTCTGCGATACCATTTGTTAGAAAGAGATGACGCGATGCACGATCTAGGTTGTCGCATTGAAGAGGAATGGTCACCTAGGATAGTGTGTGTATCAAGATGACGACTCTAAGTTGTCTTGTAGCATGGTTGTTCATCTACCTATTTGCAGTGTCTTCGTAAGTATATTTTATTTCAAAACCATTACAAAAACTGCTGCATTACTATGAACCTGTTCGAAGAGCTGCTTGGTTGAGCATCGCACTTACAATACACAGTTAATCTACAGTCCCACATGTTAATATTTGTGTAGGCCTGATTGTCATTCTTGTGCTTGGAACATTGGAAGTGGGCGTGCCCTTTTCGACCGACCCCAAAATCTTGAAATCTACGGTCGGCTTAAAAAAAAAAAACGTTTTTTAGAGAAAAAATACATTGAAGCATTCAAAACTGAGAAATATCGGCCTAGAAAAAAAAGTCAAAAGAGTACTAGAGTAAAGTACCCGGTTTTCGGCCACTTAAGACAAAATCCTATTTATTGGACTCTTTACTTCCTATTTATTATCATTTCTTGTTCAAATCATGAAGCAAATATTATTATTATTTAAACAAAAAAAGAATCCCCAAAAAAAATCACGAATTGCCATGACAATATTCATTTCAATTTTCACTGTTTTGGAGCCGGTTATCGGCCGAGCGTTTCAGTTTACGGCCGCATGTACAAAGTCAATCGGAAGCGCTCGCGCGCGCCCGTGCGTTTCTGCGCTGATGTATAGCACACGCGGGCGGAGCAGGTATCCCACGCCGGAGCTCCCGGGTGCTCGCCTGACCGAATACAGGCACAGCGGTGATCGGAAGTTGGAATCTGAATTAGACGGACATATCGTGTGTGCGTCTCGGTGTGCGGCTGCATTGATTTAATACATGCGATGAGATACTTTTGAGCTTGCGACCAGCACAAAATCGGGCTCTATATCTGAAAAATACTTGAAATAAAGCTCATTTTATGGTACCCATATTTCTTACATACACGCGTAAGAAACTCGATTTTTCAGATTTGGGTAGCGGGACCGCCGATTACATCGCTAAAATGTGATATTTTAGGATATATTTTTCATTGCAAATGTGGTTCTTCAGTGACACTGGCATGGTATGGTATGTGTGGGATATGTGTTATGCTATTATGCGATGTATTTTAAAGTGATTTTACCATGTATCCAACCAATTGGCCGAAAACCGGAGCTGACCGATTACCGGGTACTTTACTCTAGAGTAAAGTACCCGGTTTTCGGCCACTTAAGACAAAATCCTATTTATTGGACTCTTTACTTCCTATTTATTATCATTTCTTGTTCAAATCATGAAGCAAATATTATTATTATTTAAACAAAAAAAGAATCCCAAAAAAAAATCACGAATTGCCATGACAATATTCATTTCAATTTTCACTGTTTTGGAGCCGGTTATCGGCCGAGCGTTTCAGTTTACGGCCGCATGTACAAAGTCAATAGGAAGCGCTCGCGCGCGCCGTGCGTTTCTGCGCTGATGTATAGCACAAGCGGGCGGAGCAGGTATCCCACGCCGGAGCTCCCGGGTGCTCGCCTGGCCGAATACAGGCACAGCGGTGATCGGAAGTTGGAATCTGAATTAGACAGACATATCGTGTGTGCGTCGCGGTGTGCGGCTGCATTGATTTAATACATGCGATGAGATACTTTTGAGCTTGCGACCAGCACAAAATCGGGCTCTATATCTGAAAAATACTTGAAATAAAGCTCATTTTATGGTACCCATATTTCTTACATACACGCGTAAGAAACTCGATTTTTCAGATTTGGGTAGCGGGACCGCCGATTACATCGCTAAAATGTGATATTTTAGGATATATTTTTCATTGCAAATGTGGTTCTTCAGTGACACTGGCATGGTATGGTATGTGTGGGATATGTGTTATGCTATTATGCGATGTATTTTAAAGTGATTTTACCATGTATCCAACCAATTGGCCGAAAACCGGAGCTGACCGATTACCGGGTACTTTACTCTAGTAGTCTAGTAGAGTAAAGGAGCCCGTAATCGGCCAGCTCCCGTTTTCGGCCGATTGGTTGGATGCAAGGTAAAATCACTCTAAAATACATCGCATAATAGCATAACACATATCCCACACATACCATACCATGCCAGTGTCACTGAAGAACCACATTTGCAATGGAAAATATATCCTAAAATATCACATTTTAGCGATGTAATCGCCGGTCCCGCTACCCAAATCTGAAAAATCGAGTATCTTACGCGTGTCTGTAAGAAATATGGGTACCATAAAATGAGCTTTATTTCAAGTATTTTTCAGATTTAAAGCCCGATTTTGTGCTAGTCGCAAGCTCAAAAGTATGTCATCGCATGTATTAAATCAATGCAGCCGCACACCGCGACGCACACACGATATCTCTGTCTAATTCAGATTCCAACTTCCGATCACCGCTGTGCCTGTCTTCGGCCAGGCGAGCACCAGGGAGCTCCGGCGTGGGATACCTGCTCCGCCCGCTTGTGCTGTACATCAGCGCGGAAACGCACGGCGCGCGCGAGCGCTTCCTATTGACTTTGTACATGCGGCCGTAAACTGAAACGCTCGGCCGATAACGGGCTCCAAAACAGTGAAAATTGAAATGAATATTGTCATGGCAATTCGTGATTTTTTTCTGGGATTCTTTTTTTGTTTAAATAATAATATATTTGCTTCATGATTTGAACAAGAAATGATAATAAATAGGAAGTAAAGAGTCCTAAAAATAGGATTTTGTCTTAAGTGGCCGAAAACGGGCTCCTTTACTCTAGGGATGTTAGACTAAAAATTGAAGTCCATTAAATCATGACAATTTTGCACTGTATTTGGAGAACACAATTTCAGATTTGCAATTGGTCGATAACGGAAAAAGATGTCAAGGATATACCGTAGTGTAACAAAAATATTTGAGGATGAGGATGGAAAAAGCATGAGAAAAAGGTAAAGAAGGTTAAAGGGCAATCCAACCCTTGTTGTTCATTCCAACGAAAGCAGAAATATCAGAGAAAGAGAATGGCGAAAGTTTGAAATAAATTGGACCAATAATAAGAAAGTTATGAGTATTAGAAATATGAGATCCTTTAGAAGATATTTCTATCCCCACTGACCATTAGAAATATTGCATTGAGTGGGATTGAAGATTCCTAGAAATATATGCTTTTATTTTTGTAAACAATTGATGAATCAGTTACGATTTTATCGTAGGTCGATTTGAATAGATTTGGCATGATTGAAGATGCTACAAACCTGTAGTGCTCATGTTCTCAGTGGATAACTAAAACTCCTGTTGCAAACTATTATCCATTTGTATTTATAAGCAGTAAGAAATAAATATAAAATTGGATTTCAACAAGTTTGAATTTAAAATGAAGAAGTCACGATCAACAATTTATTTATCTTCATTTCCAGGTTATCACTTTGTAGCATCAATGGCAATGTGGGAGAGGCTTCACAAGATGGACTTGCTATTGGACAGTCAAAGCAGACTCATGCACAAAAGGTACCTCAACCCTTTTAAGGAAAACACATTAACACATCATTTACTAATGCATGGTTGGCACGTACGTAGCCTGTGCGCGCTTGGTGGGCTGTGCCATGCTTGCTATGACGTCACTCGTAAACAATTAAAAAACAAAGCCGAACATAACATTATGCTAATATAATTACCTCACTCTTTACCCCCCAACCAATCAAATACAAGTTAAAATATGGAAAGGAAAGTTCCCCTACCCCCAAATGAATATTCATATTGCCAATTTGATACATAGTTTTCCAATAATCATTGAAGATAACTTGACGTTTATTCATATTTTAATGGACCATAATTTTGGCAAAAATCACAGAAATTGACATTTTGTTGTAAGGTTGTAGCAAATTTATTATAAACTCTTCATCTCAATTTTTGTGTGTCGTAACCTTCGCACGTTAAGAACCCAGTGCACTATTCTTATAAGAGTAGGGGGAAACCCTGGTGTAGTGGTCCACCTCACACCCCAGTATAGTACAAAAATACTCTGTAAAGAGGTATGTACTCCAATTGGAAGAAGAAGAAGAAGACTGAGTCTGTGTGTGTATGTGTTGGCGTGAGAAGTTTGTGAATACTTCATGCCCATTCATAATTCTTCTGTGTACCTTTCGCGAAAGCAACGACTCATGAAAATGTATCTTAGCCTGACATTCGCGAAAATATCTGTATGTGAAAATATCAGCTTGTAAGGTAGATTCAGGAAGTTTTCAAATATATTCTGCTTCAAAATGGGGTTTGCATTATGAAAATGAAGTGTTTAAATAGTTTGTTGGGGGAGGGGGAGGGTAAAAGACTGCTGTACCCACGTATTACCAAAATAAATTAAGTGTGAAAAGGGATGTTTTGGGTTGAAAGGTGCGTGGCATATGTACGTTGTCATATCCATGAATCAGGGAAAAGGGTACAGCTAACAACTGAATTATTCATACCCCTTGTGAATATGATGTTTATTGTAACTCAGGAATGAAAGATGTACTGTTTGAATTAGAGCTGCTGTTGATTACTTTCAGATGTAAGCTTTAATATGTCACATTATGAAGAAACATAATTCTGGAAATATTATTTTTTCACAAACTTTGTTTTAAACAAATATGAAAAACTTAGTTTTTAATTGTATGTTTGTTGAGTTTGTAACACATTCCGTGTACCCTTTTCCCCATCCTTAGTCTGGAATGTGTGCAGATTCGAATTGCACAAATCAATAATACCGGTAGTTATTTTTAGCAAGTATTGTTTAGGGGGTTAATTTGTTGAGAAAAAGCGTGAACAAATTTGATAAGGTTGTGATTTTGCCAAGTGGATAATAAAAATTATTTTTTCACATACTTTGTTTTAAACAAATATGAAAAACTTAGTTTTTAATTGTATGTTTGTTGAGTTTGTAACACATTCCGTGTACCCTTTTCCCCATCCTTAGTCTGGAATGTGTGCAAACTTGAATTGCACAAATCAATAATACCGGTAGTTATTTTTAGCAAGTATTGTTTAGGGGGTTAATTTGTTGAGAAAAAGCGTGAACAAATTTGATAAGGTTGTGATTTTGCCAAGTGAATAAAACTTCTGGGGGGGGGGGGGCTAGGTGGGTGCTAGATGGGAAACCTGTGGTCATACATGTACATTAGGGCTGCACACTAACTTGTTTAAAAGGGTCCGGAGGATTGATGTTTTTAGAGTCTGTATGTATGAGCCCTATGTAAACATTTCTTATTTCGTTTGGGTCTGGATTTAGATTTTTACCGCCCATGTGTCCGAGGCGCCTGTTAGTGTCAAGCCCTGTGTTCAATAATATATAGTTGAGTTCTGACTGCCGCATACCCCCCCCCCCCCCCTAAACCATAGTTCCCCCTTCCTTACATGTATGATCTAGCCTCGACCAAACAGGGATAAAACATACAAAACCAATTGTAGGACTTCTTACAAGTGTATGTAGCTATAGGGGTTCTATCTATATAAACCTTTCTATTAAACCCTGTATGTGTTTTGTGAATTCATATCATAAAACTTCCCCCCCCCTGCTTTTCCCTCCCAAAAGAACATGTACATCTTGTGAGTGTTGTAGTTTGTTGTATTAATATTAACCTTTTTATTGTCTTTTATTTAATCCCATTTATATTAATAACTTGTAGTAATTGGAGAAACATCAGAAAAGAAAGCTCTCAAATTATTTTCACTTTTATCACAACATTAGCTTCTCTTTCATATAATTCTTGCTACGTCCAGAACCATGTGAGCGCACTGGAGCTTCATATGAGCAATAGTGAGGGCAGGAAGAGAGAGAGGGAGGAAGGAGTCATTGAGGATCAAGCTCAACAGAATTCAGCCAAAGAGCAGGTATGTTATGAAAAGAATATGCTATTTTCTATTTTTTATATTCGTATATTGTCTTAATGACTCTTTCAAGATACATTGTACATGTATGCACTATGCAATTAATATTTTTTGATGTACATGCATTTTCTACAGCTTCCTCTTTTACTTCTTTTCTTCATGTTTCGCCATTTTCCTGACTTTGTGTTATATTCTATTTTCTTATTTTTGCTGCCCAAGCTATCTTATCATATCAACTATATATATTTCAATGTTGACAAATCAATTGTATCTGTATTCTATGTTTGAAATATGCAATGAGTGTTTTAATTGTACACATGACCAATTCAGTCATTGGGCTGCGACACATGTTTTTTTAATAAACCTTGAATTGAATTGAATTGTATGACACAGTTCAAGTTCAAGCTCAAGTTTATTCAAACCAATCAAACACAACATTTTACAATCAATTGACACAAAAGAAATAAAAAACATGATAGGTTTGGGACCCCGGAGAAGCAGAGCTTGTGATAAGGGGCCCCTTAAAAGGTACATAAACAAAAACAAAATAACAGTATTTAGAATAACCGATGACAAAAACATATTTACAATGATAACTAATGAGTAAATATGGGAACAGAAAAAAAGATAACACACATACACATACACACCCACGCACACACACACAGACACACCCACATACACACATACACACATGGCTTTCCAGGATTTACTTTAACATATTTTGTAATCTCTCAAAAAGATATTCTCGACATGTATGTTTAAACATAGGTAGTGTTGGACTGGATCTGATGTACATGTACATAATAAAATGATATGTAGAGTTCATTTATATGAAAGTGGAATGTCTTTCCTTGATTAAGTTTGCAGTTTCCATGCTGGTATATCAGCTTACTAAAGTGTAAAAGCTGTTTTTGGATGTTGGATGTTCGTTTCCTTGCGGGATTCAAAGTAAAAGCCCCCAGCCCTTTATGAACATTCACCTTTCACCATTTGAATATATCTCATACATCCTGTATATGGTAGATAAAGATAGTACCGGTAGGTCTTTTCATGATATGCATTTGCCCCCCCCCCCCCCCCCCCCCCCCCCCCGCCCTTCTTATTATTCCTTTAGGCCATTAAAAAAATATATAGATTTTTAGGGTCCCGGCCCGTTTCCTTTTTGGGGGCCGCCTCCTATTTTTTGTTTGTTTGTTTTTTTAATTTTAAATTTTTCTAAAGAAAAAAAACATGAAAAACACTGCTAAAATGGATCTATTTCTGATTTTAAAAAAATATTTAAAAAATGTCAGCGACTATCTTGAAAAAAAGCCCAACTGTCAGGGAAAATGTACCGAGCAGCCATTTTGAAAGGAAATTTTTTTTAGAAAAGGGCCTCCTTTCTATTTTTCAAAAAAGCAGGACGCTAAACATGTTTTTTTTTTTGGGGGGGGGGGCCTTAGGTAGTTGATTCCCTTTACACTGCACTATGATTGTAATGTATCCTATTTCAAGTTTGATGTTGCTTGATTACTTCCATCCACTTTGTGAAATATTGATTTGATAATTAGACAATCCAAAGGTGGTATTATATGGAGACTGGAGAGCCTAGACTAGAGGTTGGTTCTGGAATGAATATTATTACATCATGTTCACTTAGTATTAGATTGACTGATTTATGTACAATGTATGTGACTGCTCTCCCTTCACTCTCCCAATGTGGCCATATTACACCAATGGTGTTGCAATGCATGATGTATTCTGAAGAAAAAAAAAATAATTGCTGGAGATTGAGCTAGACTAACAGCCTGATTTAGGACTATAAAAAGCTCTATAATATGAGTCTTTGTTTTACAAACATCCATTCACATGTCATATTCAAGTAAGAGCACTATGGACTTTGTGACAATAGTATGAAAAACAAAGTGACCTTTGATGGCTTGACCAAATTTGATCAGATAAAATCCCTAGTTTACTCTAAATGGCCCGAATTCACAAAGGAGGTTTAAATTTAACCCATGGTTTGAACCTTCGTTTACATGTACATAACCCATTGCTTAGAATTAGCGCAAATTAAGCCTACCTTGCCTTACGCGCGTCTAATATTGGACCTCTGACTGTGTCATGCTTATTTTGCGCTAATTTAGACCATGGGTTATGTAAATGTAGATTTAAACCATGGGTTATTCAAGTTTAAACCTCCTTTGTGAATTTGGGCCAATGTTTAAACGCCATATTTTTAGATAATAATGCTGTTACAGGCATGATAGTATGCACTACTGTACTCCTATTCACAAACTATATTATAGACCAAAATTTATGTTGTGTTATATAAATGTGATGTCCATGTAAATGCTGGAAAGAATTATTTCACCAGAAACCATTTCTGAAAATTATCTCATTTCGTAACAATTTAATGCTATTGGCTTAATGCCACATATATATTCAGAGTTTTATAGCCACAATACAGTATTCAGAGTTTCACATAGTTCTTATCTTTTGACACAGCCACGTACCAGTAAGTAAAAGGTGAAGGGATGAAAAATAGATTTCCTTAATTTCCTCATTATAGATACACATATGAGGGTAGGCAACGATCCTTTAAGGTGAAATTCAAAGAAAATCACAAATGTCAAATAATGTATGACTAGAAACTGGTAAGCTAACAGATGGCAATCGTACAAGTTTTAGGTCAACTACATATCAGGTGATTTATAAAAATACAAATACAACCACCTCCATAGCAGCTGGGATATACGAGAGATTCGCCAAAAAACCCCGATGTTTTAATGACGTCACTATTGGGACCAATACTGCCCAAGCAGACGACATCCCATAAAGAATGAACATAATTGCAAAGCTTTTATTTGTCAAATTATAATGAGTTTAGTGTATATAAATGTGATGGCATGTCAAACCATTCAAAAAGGGATATGACCTGATTCCGATAACAAAAATCTTTTGCTTATAAATACACAGGATAGGGGTTAATTAACAATCAAAGAAATCAGACTTTCGAATTGGAAAACCCCCCGGAATGATATTAAGGACGGCATTTGTTCCCTTTTGAAACGCCAAACATACCGCGGTGTGTGCAGCTGAATATTCAATGGCGTCTTATTTTGTTTAAAAGCGACAGATTCCTTTATTTTTGTATCGCTGCATTTGTCATCAAATAAAATCATGTGCGGGGTTTAGAGTGAGGCAATAGATTATACATTTAGCTTGACGGTAGTGAAGTAAGAGAAAGAACTCAAGAAAAGATGAAAACACATCGTCTGCTTGTGCAAATCTTGTCCATACTGTGATCTCACACATCTCAGCAGCGTTCGGAGAGCTCTTCAGGTGCTATGCCCGGGCTGTATTCAAGCGTTTTATAATTTATAATAATCATTACTTTGAATGTTTCCAAGCATTTAATTTTGGTAACCTTGTTGAATCAAAGTTTTAACTTTGCAATAATGAAATGAAATTAGTTTTTTAATTTCAATGAATATCTACTTTAAAAATGAAAGTATGCTCTAGAATGTCTGTATTTTCATAAATTCATTTATTTGTTGTTCAATTTTTAGAATTCATCCTTATGTGTAGTTCTGCCCCTAGCTGGAATTCTAAACCAAATTTGCAGAGAAATCATATACCGGGTAGTTAAAATACAAATCAGATAATGTGTACTACAGTATTTCTTTCTTCTGTTGTGTATGAGAAAGGATTGAAACTGGAAGTAGGATAAGTTGAGAAAGGATTGAAACTAGAAGTAGGATTAGCTGAGAAAGGATTGAAACTGGATATAGGATTAGTTGAGAAAGGATTGAAACTGGATATAGGATTAGTTGAGAAAGGATTGAAAGTGGAAGTAGGATTAGTTGAGAAAGGATTGAAAGTGGAAGTAGGATTAGTTGAGAAAGGATTGAAACTGGAAGTAGGATTAGTTGAGAAAGGATTGAAACTGGAAGTAGGATTAGTTGAGAAAGGATTGAAACTGGAAGTAGGATTAGTTGAGAAAGGATTGAAACTGGAAGTAGGATTAGTTGAGAAAGGATTGAAACTGGAAGTAGGATTAGTTGAGAAAGGATTGAAACTGGAAGTAGGATTAGTTGAGAAAGGATTGAAACTGGAAGTAGGATTAGTTGAGAAAGGATTGAAACTGGAAGTAGGATTAGTTGAGAAAGGATTGAAACTGGAAGTAGGATTAGTTGAGAAAGGATTGAAACTGGAAGTAGGATTAGTTGAGAAAGGATTGAAACTGGAAGTAGGATTAGTTGAGAAAGGATTGAAACTGGAAGTAGGATTAGTTGATGACAGGTTCTCACCATTGGGTCAAAGTTCAAGTACACATATGTATATGTCCTTATGATAGTCTTCTGAAATGATGTTCAGGGTACTTTTCTATAGATGCCACAGCACATAATACAGCACTATTTGTGTCTGAATTAACTAATTTTAAGTACCGTACTGAAGTAAATGGGTAATTAAAGTAATTAAATAGAACATAACCATGCCAATGCTTTTTGCAACTTGCCATACCACAGCAGACTGTACTACCAGGTGGAATGAATTTATTAATGCATCTTGGGAGTAAAAACTGTAGGCCTAGTGGCTGTACTTTGGGCGTGGTGTAGGTGTGTGCCATGTGGGATGTTTTTGGTGCTGTACTGGTTCGACCAACTGCATACATTATTTAATTTAGTTAAAATATAAAATTCATAAATTAATATCCACCGGTGCATTCTGAATATTGCTGGTCCTACCTTTCAACCCAGTCTCCCCAAATCACTAAAACCATCCAAATAATTATGACGTTATATTGTACATGTGGAGTGCACAGATGAAAATGAAATTTCACTTTGTGCCTTTATAATTATAATGGTTTGGATGTAAAATTACAATGTTGTGTACTAAAAACACATATTCTGAGGTTCATGCATGATTACAGTTCAGGTGCAATCGGACATACTCTCAATCGTACAAAGTGACTCGTATCCATCACACAAAAAGCTGGGGCTAGTGTACATTGTAAG